TGGTCTGGCATTATCGTGTTGAAAAATGCAGGGTCTTCCCTGAAAGAGATGACGTCTAGATGGGAGCATATGTTGTTCTAGAACCTGAACATAGTTCTCTGCATTAATGGTGCCTTTCCAGACATGCAAGCTGCCCATACCACAAGCGCTCATGTAACCCCATACCATCAGTGATGCAGGCTTCTGAATGGAGTGTTGATAACAAATTGGGCTATCCTTGTCCTCTCTGGTCCGGATGACATGGCGTCCCAGTGTTCCATAAAGAACTTCAAATCGTGACTCATCTGACCACAGAACAGTCTTCCATTTTGCCACACTCCATTTTAAATGACCCCTGGCCCAGTGCAAACGTCTGAGCTTGTGGAGCTTGCTTAGAAATCGCTTCCTCTTAGCACTGTAGAGTTTCAGCTGGCAACGGCAGATGGCACGGTGGATTTTGTTCACTGACAATGCTTTCTGGAAGTATTCCTGAGCCTATTCTGTTATTTCCTTGACAGTGGCATTCCTGTTTGAGGTGCAGTGACATTTAAGGGCCCGGAGATCACGAGCATCCAGTAGAGTTTTACGGCCTTGACCCTTACGCACAGCGATTGTTCCAGATTCTCTGAATCTTTTGATGATGTTAGGCACGGTTGACGATGATAACTTAAAAGTCTTTGCTATTTTACGATGGGTAACACCATTCTGGTATTGCTGCACTATCTTTCTGCGCAACAATGGTGGAATTGGTGATCCTCTTACCATCTTGGCTTCTGAGAGACACTGACACTCTGAGAAGCTCTTTTTATACCCAATCATGTTGTCAATTGACCTAATTAGTGTTAATTGGTCTTCTAGCTGTTCCTTATATGCTCATTTTCCTTTTTCCAGACACTTATTGCTACTTGTCCCAACTTTTTTGGGATTTGTTGACACTGTGAAATTTTGAATCAACATATTTTTCTTTTAAAATGTTACATTTACTCAGATTAAACTTTTGATCTGTCATCTATGTTATATTACGAATAAAATATTGACATTTGCCATCTCCACATCGTTGCATTCAGTTTTTATTCACAATTTGTTTAGTGTCCCAACATTTTTGGAATCCGGTTCGTACAATAAAATGGCAAACAAAAGGACATTCAAAAGGAAAAAGTAGACAAATAAAGATAAAATGTCACATAATGTCACTATGGGGGCCGAGATGGTGTAGAGGCAGGGCAGCCGGCTTGGGACCCAAAAGTCCCAGGTTCGATCCCCAGTCACTGCACATCACGTGGTGGCTTTGGGCAGCACACCTCATCCCCAAAATGCCCCCCGGGTGCTTTCAATAGCTGCCCACTGCACCACCTGGTGGTGGATGGGTTAAATGCAGAGACTAATTTCGCCATTGTATGGAAACATACAGTGCTGACATTGTGATGACATCATTATTATTATTATTATTGATCAATTGCAGTCATGGACTAAGGGAGTGAAGAGCCAGAAACAGAATTATGGCACATAGATGGACAAATGGTTCCTCTGACATTATTGACTTTCATAAAAAAAAACGTTAAGAAAATCATTACTGTCAGCTCTGGAGGACACTTCATTCAATTAGTTGCACCTACATATTTCCCTTGGACGCTATGGTGAATGGAGGAGCACATTGTGGAGCCTGGCTAACACTGATAGCCATTTCCGGTCATTTTTCTATGAAAAAAACATGAGCTAACATTAGCATGGTGTTTGCATTTGAGCTGACCTATCGCTTTAAGTCAAGTATAACTTGTTAGCTGCCTTAATGTTGGTATGAGATGTAGGTTATAGTTTTACTTGATTCTGAGGGTCGGAGATGAAGGAGGAGGCAGTGAAAATTGTCCGGCGGAGCATTTCAAAGATGGGCCACTATTTTACTTCTACACCCTCCTTTGCATGATATAAAATTATTGCAAGTGCTGCACTGAGCTGACTAGTCATTTATTAAAGTTAAGCCACACTTTCAACCGCGGCTGCTCACTCTCCATGTATGGGAACACTTCCGGTGGATTCTTCTTCGTTGGTTTTCGGCGGGCGGCTTCAACTTCCAGTTGGCGGACTAGGCATAGAAAATAGGAATCGAAAATAAATATTTTGAACGATTCTGAGAAAACCAGACAGTTAGTCCCAGTTCGAAATGATTCTCGATCCTCCATGCCCAACCCTAATCAAGATCCTTCCTAAATGTATCTTTCTCCTCCTCATCACATCCAACCTGTGGAGCATAACCACTGACAACATTTAAGGTCAGACCTTTAACTTCGACCTTCAGACACATCACCCTATCTGACACTGTTTTCACCTCTACTACATTCTTTGCCAACTCCTCCTTCAGGACCACCCCTACTCCATTTCTCTTTCTATCCACACCATGGTAAAACAGTTTGAACCCTGCTCCAATGCTGCGAGCCTTGCTGCCCTTCCACTTGGTCTCTTGGACACATAAAACATCTACCTTCCTTCTCAGCATCATGTCAGTCAGCTCTCTACCTTTGCCTGTCATTGTCCCCACATTTAGAGCTTCAACCCTCAGTCCTACATTCTTGACTTTCCTCTTCTCCCTCTGTCTCCTGACACATTTTCCTTCTTGTGGTCTTCAACTAACAGTAGCTCAATTTCCATCAGGACCCTGTTTGTCAACAGCAGCGGTGGCGGCCGTTGCTAACCCGGGCCTTGACCGATCCGGTATGGTTTTGCTGTGATGAACGTGCATTATAGGAAAGGAGCATAACAAGCTGAAATTAGCTAAAATAAGTTAGAAGAATCACAAAAATGTTGTAGTTAGCAGAAAGATCCTGAAAGGAGCACAAAACAGCTGAAAATCAGCTGAAATTAGCTGAAAGTAACTGATTTTTTATGTTAGTTTGCAGAAAAAATCTGAAAGAAGCTAAAAGAAGCTGAAGCTGAACAAAATGTGAAAAAAGCAGTAAAAGGTTAATAGATTTAAAGATCTGAAGGAGGTAAAATGAGCTCAATTAATTTTCTATGAGAAAAAAATTACAGAAAAGGCTAAATATTTCAAAGCTAAAGTTGCACCAATACCAAAAGTCAGAGCAGGATTGTCCTGGAAGAGCTGAACGATTTGATTTGTTGAAATAGATGAAAAAATCGGGAGAGTGATTCCGAAAAATGTACAGAATAGGGTTAGTAACCGCCAATAATAATAGTTTATAATAATTATTATTATTATAAACAGGGTCACAATTGTGTGAATAATACTAATACCACTAATAATAATAATAATAATAATAATAATAATAATAATAATAATATCACTGATACCACCGACATTTGGAAGAAACAATAGAGGTGACAAATATAACTGCACCTGAACTTAAGGTGGGCCCGTTCACAGCCGATCCATCCACAGTCAGAACCATTAATAGTAAAAAGTCAGGTCCAGTAGGCCTACCTGGTTCTGGTCCTTCCGGTCCTGTGGACTCGGTCCGGATCTAGTTCTTTTTGGTTGTTGTGAAACTTTCCGGAAGTAGAGCTCAGGTGCGGTCTTTCAGGTGAGTTAAAGGTAAAAACATTCTTAAAGGGGAAGTTCAGTGAAACTGTCTGCGACATTAAAAAAAGGAAAACTGAAAATAACAATTATGAACAAGAAAACAAATAAATAAATAATCAGAAAAATGGGACAGTCAAAATGGCTAAATTTGTCCAAATCAAAACATTTTATTAGTTTTGTTTTTGAGTTCATACCTAAAATACTGTTTTAGCATTTTCTAAAAAGCAGTTGAATTTTAATAATAATAATATGAATAAATAATAATTATAATCTTTGTTCAGCTTTTCCCTTTTCAAGGCTGCATTTCTAAAATCCTTCTACCAATATATGCACTGTCCCTCTTCTGGACATGTCCAAAATTCTGTCCATCCTCAGAACATGTCCAAAACACTGTCCTTCCTCAGGACATGTCCAAACTCACTCCTAAGGACATGTGCAAACCTCTGTCCTTCCTATGGACATGTCCAAACCTCTGTCCCCCCTCTGGACATGTCCAAATCTCTGTCCCTCTTCTGGACACGTTCAAAATTCAGTCCCTCAACTGGACATGTCCAAACCACTGTTCCTCCTCAGGACATGTCCAAACTCACTTCTAAGGGCATGTGCAAACCTCTGTCCTTCCTATGGACATGTCCAAACCTCTGTCCCTCTTCTGGACATGTCCAAAATCCTGTCCCTCAACTGGACATATCCAAACCTTGATACGGTTGTGGTGGGATGCATCACAAATAACGATGAGTCCAGGTACAGGCAGGAGGTGGAACACCTGGAGTGCTGGAGAATAACCTTTACATCAGTGTGAAGAAGATGAAGGAGGAAGGAGATGAGTGTGGACTTCAGAAAGAACAAGCACACCTACCCACTGAACATAAGAACATCTGCGGTGGAAGTGGTCTCCAGCTACAAGTACTTGGGTGTGCACCTGAACAACAACCTCAGCTGGAGCAACAACACCACCAGCCTGATGAAGAAAGCTCATCAGAGACTCTACTTCCTCAGGCGGCTGAGGCGAGCTGGTCTGGAAGCTCAGTCCTCACCTCCTTCTACAGGTGTGCAGTGGAGAGCATCCTGTGCTCCAGCATCAATGTGTGGCATGGAGGCTGCACAGCTGCAGAAAGAAAAGCTTTGCAGAGAGTGGTGAAGGCTGCACAGAAGATGTTGGAGTCAGTCTCCCCACCATCACAGACATCTACACCTCCAGATGCAGGAAGAGGGCCACCTGCATCATGAAGGACCACACTCACCCAGCACACACACTTTTTGCCCCACTCCCCTCAGGAAGGAGGTTGAGGAGCATTAAGTGTAGAACCACTAGACTGAGGAACAGCTTCTACCCTGAGGCTGTTAGACTCATGAACCTCTAACCAGAATAATCACTGTGAAAAATCACATCATGTTGCTGCTGATCTGTTTCATGTTGCTGCTGATCTGTTCCATGT